TGGCACACAATACAAGATAGGTTGGGTGGAAGAAAGGTAGAATGAGTGAGGTTGAGCAGGGAGGCCATTGTCCCCTGGGTGCTGCAAGAGCATTTGTAGTGAGTGTGGCATATGTTAAAGGAGATCCAAGAGGGAAGGACCCAGGTCATTTTCACATTCCCACCCATGGCATTTACTCACTGACTGGGTAAAATTGATTTTTATTTAATTGAATGAAATTCCTCAGCAGAGTTTTAATTTACCCATGAAAATTACAACTTACAAATCACTTAGAGGAAAAAAAATCAAGAAAAAAAAAAAAAAAGGAAAAGGCAAAGCAAGGAATTATAAGAGAAATACAGTAAACCAAGCTAGTTCAGCTGTTAAAATAATGCAGATTATTAAAGAATGATGTCTCACGTAGGGTCAAAACACAGATGCACACTAGAATATAAGCTATTTGAAGATGAGCCTAAAACAGAAAATACAGAAAGGAAGAGCAGCAGTAGATTAGGCAAATGAAAAGACAGAAAACAGATGCAATAGTTTTATGTTACTTGAAAAGATTGCATTGATTTCTTATACTTTGACAGCTTAAATAGCTTTGGATAAAATTCTTTCAAAGAATGAGCTGGCTTAAACATTTATTTTCCAGGAAGTTCTTTGATAACTTTTATCATTTTCTACCACAGTTAATGATCTATTTGCCTCTTCTAACTTTTTGAATGAATTTTGGTAATTTATATTTTTCTAGAATATCATTCATTTACCATGAATTATATGTTATAAATCTTGTAATGACATACTGAGTTCTATTGTAATTATTTTATTCATTTTTATACCTGTGCGTGTATCCTATTTTACATGTACAAGTTATATTTTTATTTTTATTGTCATTTTTATCTTCCAGAGATATATCCATATTATTTTTCTTTTCTAGGAAATCAGTCTTGGATTTCTCAATTTTATTGCATCTTATTCTAATTCATTAATATTTGTTCTTATTTTCATTATGTTTCCTATGACTTTTCTAGAAATTTTTTTTTATTGATAAAATACAGTTTAGCAGGAAATGCAATACTAGAACCTTGTGATATTTCAATGATCATTCGCACATATATAAATATTCACAACATGTATTTTTTTATTTCGGCATATTATGGTGGTTACAGATTTTAGGTTTCAATAAATGCTTATTCCCCCTCCCACAAGTCTGGAGTTTCCAGCAGTGGACCATCCCCAGTATGGTGCACATCTCAACTCATTATGTATGTATAAACCACCCCTCCACCCCCACGTGCCCAATACCCTACTTACTATAGTATTTTGTGTCCACTTAGGTGCTTGTCACAAACGTTTAAACCAGTTTGCTGGTGAGTATTTGTGCTTGTTTTCCATTCTTTGGATATTTCATTTAGTAGTATGGTCTCAGTCTACCAGGAAAATATAGATGTTACTATATCACCATTGTTTCTGTAAGCTGAAGTACTCCATGGGTATACATATACAACATTTTATTAATCCATTCTTGGATGATGGCACTTGGGCTGTTCCACAGCCTTTGCAATTACGATGGTGCTGGCTAAACATTCGAGTGTAGGTGTCTTCCTTTTTGTAGAATGTCACTGGATCTTTTGGGTAGATGCCCAGGACAATGGGATTGCTGGATCAATCGTAGTCACTTGTATGCTTTAAGATATCTCATATTGCTTTCCACTGAGGTTGAACATTTGCAGTCCACCAGCAGTGTGGAAGTGTCTCTCTCCTTTACTCACGCACAGCATTTATTGGTTTGGAGACTTTTTTGATAAGGCCTTTCACTGGAGTTAAGTGATATCTCCATTGTGGTTTGATTTGCTTTCCCTGATGATTAGAATGTGAGCATTTTTTCATATGTTTGTTGGCCATTCTTCTGTCTTCCTAGAAAAGTTCTGTTCAAGTCCTTTGCCCACTTTTAATAGGGTTATTTGGATTTTTCTTGGCTGATTCTTGAGTTTAAGTATATCAGTTATAACCCCTTATCAGATTTAGGATGCAAAATTTCTCCCATCTCTGTAGGTTGTCTGTTTACTTTCATGACTGTTCTTGGCTTGCAGAAGCTTTTAGTTTTGATCACTGTCCGTTCTATTTTTGTTGCTGCTGGAATTGCCTTTGGACTTCTTCATATACTGCTTTGCCTAGGCCATGAGTCTAGGAGAGTGTTTCACAATTTTCTCTAGAATTCTAATAGTTTATATCTTAGTTAATCTGTTATCCACGGGCCATGAGTTGATTTTTGTGAGAGGTGAAAGGTGCGGATCCGTCTTACTTCTAAAGGTGGCTATCCAGTTTCCCAGCACATTTCATTGAAAAGGGATTCTTTCCCCAGCGTATATTTTTTGTTGCTTTGTCAAAGATTAGATGGTATATGAGTAGATGTTTATATCGGATCTCAGATCTGTTCCATGGTCAATATTCATTTTTGTGCCAATACAATGATCTTAATATACAGCTTTGTAGTATAAGTTTGATATCTCATTTAATGCTCCCATTTTTTTTGTTGCCTAGAATTGCTTTTGATATTCAAGGCTTTGGTTCCATATGAAGAGTAAAATTATCTCC